GGGGCTGTTTTGATGCAAGAAAAGAGGCCGATTGCATTCTTCAGTGAAAAGTTAAATGGAGCACGTTTGAACTACTCTATTTACGACAAGGAGTTCTATGCTTTGATTCGGGCTCTGGAGGTATGGCAGCACTACTTGGTGCCAAAAGAATTCGTTATTCATACTGATCATGAATCCTTGAAGTATCTTAAGGGGCAAAGCAAGCTGAATCGAAGACATGCTAAATGGGTGGAGTTTATGGAGTCATTTCCTTATGTCATAAAGTACAAGAAAGGGCAAGTTAATGTGGTTGCTGATGCTCTTTCTAGGAGATATGCACTGATCTCTATGTTGAATGCAAGGTTGATGGGTTTTGAACAAGTGAAGGATCAATACGCTAATGATTCCTACTTTGCTAATGTGGTTACCGAATGTGCAAAGGGAGCTTGTGATGGGTTCTTTATGCATGAAGGTTACTTGTTCAAAATGGGCAGAATGTGTATTCCTTCAGGTTCATTACGGGAGTTGCTTGTGCGAGAGGCTCATGGTGGTGGTCTTAGTGGTCATTTTGGGGAGAAGAAGACTTATGAGTTGCTGAAAGAACATTTCTTTTGGCCTAGCATGTTACGGGATGTGCACAAGGTGATTGAGAGATGTGCTATTTGCAAGAAAGCTAAGGGTAAAGAGAATGCATATGGGCTGTATATGCCGTTGCCTATTCCAGAGCAACCGTGGATGGATGTTAGCATGGACTTCGTACTGGGGTTACCGAGAACACAGCGTGGAAAGGATTCAATAATGGTTGTGGTTGATCGATTCTCCAAAATGTCCCATTTCATTCCTTGCAACAAAACTAACGATGCTGTACATGTAGCTGATTTGTTCTTTCAAGAGATTGTTCGTTTGCATGGAGTTCCTAAAAGCATTGTCTCTGATCGTGATACAAAGTTCTTAAGCTACTTTTGGAAGACTCTTTGGAGGAAGCTAGGAACGAAGTTACTTTTCAGTACGGCATGTCATCCACAAACTGATGGACAAACTGAGGTAGTAAACCGAACTTTATCTTCTTTGTTACGAGCTGTTATACATAAGAATTTGAAGAGTTGGGATACTTGTTTGCCTATTGTGGAGTTTGCATATAATCGTAGTGTGCATGGGGCTACAAAATTTTCACCATTTGAGGTCGTGTATGGCTTTAATCCTTGTGTTCCTATTGATCTTGTTCATATTCCAATTGATGAGAGGACATCTATGGATGCAATTAGCAAGGCAGAATTGATGAAGAAACTACATGAGCAGGTTCGATTACATATTGAGGAGAAAACAACAAAGTATGCTAAACAAGCTAACAAGGGGCGGAAAATGGTTAGGTTTGAACCTGGTGATCTTGTTTGGATTCATCTTAGTAAGGGCAGATTTCCAAGCAAACGCAAGTCCAAGTTGATGCCAAGAGCTGATGGTCCATTTCGGATTATAGAGAAGGTGAATGATAATGCGTATAAGGTAGATCTTCCTGGTGATTACAATGTATCAGCTACTTTTAATGTGAAAGACTTGACTCCATACTTGGATGATGACGACGATTATGATTTGAGGACAAATCATTATCAACCCGGGGCTGATGATGTGCATCATGGGAATGATAATCCATCTCGTAAAGGTAAATCAAATATGCAAGAGGATTCAGATGGTCCAATGACAAGAGCGAGAGCGAAACAACTACAAAGGACCTTGACGATTCAGATTGGAATGATTGAAGCTGCGTCGGAGTTAAAATTTGGCAATCAGTTTCAAATTGGTTCAAGGGTGCTTATTTGCCTACAATTGGAGCTTAAAGATGGGAAGAGCTCTTAATGGTTCTTTTGATGCTGGACTACTTGAATTTGGGTTGATAATGCAAATAAGTTAAGAAATTGATGCTGTTTACATCAGAACAGTAGATAAATTTGAACTCGAATTTGAAGTCATCCATTGCATGTGAAAACAAGACTAATCTAGGTGGATTTCAAGTTCAGAACGTGATCTTTCCAGATTGTCCAACCATGATTGCATTGGACTTTTGTGCAAGAAGTTATAGCCATTTTAAATTCGGTCTGTTTATGTTTCAATTAAAGTCAGAAAATGTGTGCTAGTGTAATTTGTCTGGTTACTTTGTCAAAGTCCAAGTTTTGGGCTTGATTTCTGTCATGTTGAATTTTCCTAAGTGTGGAGGGATGTTCCATTATAAATATGGCATCAGAATATGTAATAAACAACTTTTGGCCAATATTTGAACTTAATTCCGAGAATTAAGAGTTATTCTTCCAAATTGATTTGTGAAGAACCCTACCTGACTTATCACTCTTCAATCACAAAGAGTGTGGCGTCAAAATCCTAGATTGATCTTTGTGGCGTCCAGATCGACTTATCAAAGTATCACTCTAGTTTATCCTCCATTTTTATTTACCTTAAAAATACTATAATCTAGCCTAAACACCAGAAGAAAGACAATACAACCAGACTCATCCTTCATCCATTTTCGTCAGATTCATTGTTGCCGATTTTTGAATCATTCACGACACAACAGGTGCAATATTTTTTCTCTTCAAGTTTAAATTGGAAATGAAAAATGCATGAACTTAGTTCTGTTAAATTATATTGCTGGAACCGTGGAACATTAATAGTCTCAGGCTTGCCATAAATTCAAAGGACAAAACACCTTAGAAAATTGTCTTTTATGATAAATGGCTTTGATTTCTATGTTAATTTCTTTTTTAATAAATCAAATTAAGAGATGGCTTACTACAATGAATCCATTATTTAGGACTTGGGTGGTGTGAAATATGATTTTAGATAAAAAAGAAGGATATGCCATCAGAAAAATATTTTAGCATAGAAAACCAACTTCTTTGAATGAATTGTTCAACGAATCTATACAATAAGATTATAGAATAAGTGTTGTGTCGTGAATGATTCAAAAATCGACAACAATGAATCTAACGAAAATGGATGAAGGATGACGGTTGTATTGTATTTCTTTTGGTGTTTAGGCTAGATTATAGTATTTTTAAGGTAAATAAAAATGGAGGATAAACTAGAGTGATACTTTGATAAGTCGATCTGGACGCCACAAAGATCAATCTAGGATTTTGACGCCACACTCTTTGTGATTGAAGAGTGATAAGTCAGGTAGGGTTCTTCACAAATCAATTTGGAAGAATAACTCTTAATTCTCGGAATTAAGTTCAAATCTTGGCTAAAAGTTTTTTATTACATATTCTGATGCCATATTTATAATGAAACATCCCTCCACACTTAGGAAAATTCAACATGACAGAAATCAAGCCTAAAAATTGGACTTTGACAAAGTAAGCAGACAAATTAAACTAGCACACATTTTCTGACTTTAATTGAAACATAAACAGACCGAATTTAAAATGGCTATAACTTCTTGCACAAAAGTCTAATGCAATCATAGTTGGACAATCTGGAAAGATCACGTTCTGAACTTGAAATCCACCTAGATTAGTCTTGTTTTCACATGCAATGGATGACTTCAAATTCGGGTTCAAATTTATCTACTGTTCTGACGTAAACAACATCAATTCCTTAACTTATTTGCATTACCAACCCAAATTCAAGTAGCCCAGCATCAAAAGAACCATTAAGAGCTCTTCCCATCTTTAAGCTCCAATTGTAGGCAAATAAGCACCCTTGAACCAATTTGAAACTGATTGCTAATTTTTAACTCCAACGCAGCTTCAATCATTCCAATTTGACTCGTCAAGGTCCTTTGTAGTTGTTTCGCTCTTGCTCTTGTCATTGGACCATCTGAATCCTCTTGCATATTCAATTTACCTTTACAAGATGGATTATCATTCCCATGATGCACATCAATAAGGTCAAGAATAACTTTGATGGTGGATCCTAAATAATTTAATAATCTCTATTAATTAGGTCTATAGTAAGACTATATTTGCAAACCATCATGTTTCTGCGTTAAACTCCTAAAAACAAGTTATATTCGGATTTTCAAGTCTTTGGCTATAAGCTTTTGTGTTTTTATAACTAGGGTACAAAGTTTGATATTAAGCATATATTCAAAGTTCAAACTAACTAGATACCCCTCCTAACTTAATACCAAATTTTTTATTTAATTTGGTCTTTTTCTGTATCTAATTTAATTCTAAAATGGAAAACCCATGTAATCTTTTTCTTTGTATATAATCTTACTGTTGGGTTTGTAAGTTGTAACTTTGTATTGTATTTATCATTTTATTACTTCACCGGGCATGGCTAGCAAGTTTGAACTTTAAAGCTTTATCTGAAATTGAATCCTACTTTGAAGTTTGATCTATATTATATGCACAAGCCTATACAAACCAAATAACCGAATTAATTGCTAGGTTGTTAGGTGTAGTTAATAATATAACTTGACCATGGCCGGATTAATTATAAGGAAGGATACATAATTATTATATGAAACCGAATGTATCAAATAATAAATTTAAAGTGTGACCATGACCGAATTAATTATAAGTAATTATAAGGAAGGATACATAATTATTATATGAAACCGAATGTATCAAATAATAAATTTAAAGTGTGACCATGGCCGGATTAATTATAAGTAATTATAAGGAAGGATACATAATTATTATATGAAACCGAATGTATCAAATAATAAATTTAAAGTGTGACCATGGCCGGATTAATTATAAGTAATTATAAGGAAGGATACATAATTATTATATGAAACCGAATATATCAAATAATAAATTTAAAGTGTGGCCATGATCAGATTAATTATAAGGAAGGATACATGATTATTATATTATATGAAACCAAATGTATCAAATAATAAATTTAAAGTGTGAAGTTTACAAATAATATTTGTAAATCAACATGGATCTTGAGAAATGATATTTTTTTTCATTTTAAGTTATTGGTATTATTACCATCCATTTTACTTTAAAAATCACGTTGATGTAAATTGAAATAGCTAAAATTAATTATGTTTTATTTTTTTCAGATCAAATTATATGGCTGAAAACTCATCAAGTGGTGGTTCTTCAATGGCTTCAGCTCCAGCAAGATCAGATGATCCAGCATGGGCTCATGGGCAAGTGGTTGTTGGTGTAAAGAATTTCCAATATCACTGATGTGCATCATGGGAATGATAATCCATCTTGTAAAGGTGACGACGATTATGATTTGAGGACAAATCATTATCAACCCGGGGCTGATGATGTGCATCATGGGAATGATAATCCATCTCGTAAAGGTAAATCAAATATGCAAGAGGATTCAGATGGTCCAATGACAAGAGCGAGAGCAAAACAACTACAAAGGACCTTGACGAGTCAAATTAGAATGATTGAAGCTGCGTCGGAGTTAAAAATTAGCAATCAGTTTCAAATTGGTTCAAGGGTGCTTATTTGCCTACAATTGGAGCTTAAAGATGGGAAGAGCCCTTAATGGTTTTTCTGATGCTGGGCTACTTGAATTTGGGTTGATAATGCAAATAAGTTAAGGAATTGATGTTGTTTATGTCAGAACAGTAGATAAATTTGAACCCAAATTTGAAGTTATCCATTGCATGTGAAAACAAGGCTAATCTAGGTGGATTTCAAGTTCAGAACGTGATCTTTCCAGATTGTCCAACCATGATTGCATTGGACTTTTGTGCAAGAAGTTATAGCCATTTTAAATTCAGTCTGTTTATGTTTCAATTAAAGTCATAAAATGTGTGCTAGTTTAATTTGTCTAGTTACTTTGTCAAAGTCCAATTTTTGGGCTTAATTGTTGTCATGTTGAATTTTCCTAAGTGTGGAGGGATGTTCCATTATAAATATGGCATCTGAATATGTAATAAACAACTTTTGGCCAATATTTGAACTTAATTCCGAGAATTAAGAGTTATTCTTCCAAATTGATTTGTGAAGAACCCTACCTGACTTATCACTCTTCAATCACAAAGAGTGTGACGTCAAAATCCTAGATTGATCTTTGTGGCATCCAGATCGACTTATCAAAGTATTTATCACTCTTCAATCACAAAGAGTGTGGCGTCAAAATCCTAGATTGATCTTTGTGGCGTCCAGATCGACTTATCAAAGTATCACTCTAGTTTATCCTCCATTTTTATTTACCTTAAAAATACTATAATCTAGCCTAAACACCAAAAGAAAGACAATACAACCAGACCCATCCTTCATCCATTTTCGTCAGATTCATTGTTGTCGATTTTTGAATCATTCACGGCACAACAATCACCTTGCTGGTATTAAGGGCCAAGTTGAAGCTTGTAAAAAGGTCCCTCCAGATGTGAAATGGCAAATGAAGCAATTGATAGAGGACTTGACAATGGAGAAAGAGAAAAGAAAGAGACTTAGAATTGATATTAGAAATTCTCAATCACTTTCCAATAATGAAGTCAAAGAGGGTGATAGTACAAATCCTACTTTAAGTGATATCGGTTCACAAGCAAATAAGAGATTGACAATGCAAGGCACAAGTGCAAATAGGAAAAAGACGACTTTATTCGTTCCACGAAATACCCCAAATTCACAACCTAGCATTAAAAGTGCAATGGCTTCTAAAGAGAAGGAACATAATACAAGGAAGGTCATAGCAAGATGGTGGTATAATGTTAATGTACCGTTTAATGGTGCTAAATCATACTATTATCGACCAATAATAGACGCCATAGCATCAATGGGACATGGTTTTAAAGGACCATCATATCATGATTTAAGGGGACCACTTTTAAAAGATGTAGTTCATGGTGTCCATGAATATCTCTTTGAAATCAAGGCTGATTGGAAAACTTTATGGATGCTCCATTATGGCAGATGGGTGGTCAAATAGAAGGAATGTACCAGTTGTGAATTTTCTTGCTTATTCTCCAAGAGGTACCATTTTCTTGAAGTTAGTTGACACTTCGGGTCTTCGAAAAGATACAGAGACATTACTTGAAATGTTTGATGAAATTGTCAAAGAAATGGGGCAGGAAAATATTATCCAATTTGTTAGTGATAATGAGTCTGCATTCAAGGCTGCTGGGAAGGCTTTACAACAAAGGTATGGCACTTTCTTTTGGTCTCCTTATGCTGCCCATTGCATTGATTTGATGTTAGAAACATAACCAAATTTATATATAATCATGCATGGGTTTTAGCTTTGATGAGGAAAGACTTTACTAATGGAAATGATATATGTCGTCCTAGCATTACAAGGTTTTGCTACCCATTTTTTAAGCATCCAATGTTTGCTTAAGTTTAAGAAAGAGCTTCGACAAATGTTTACTTGCATGACATGGGTAGAATCAAGTCATGGTAAAAGTAAAGTTAGAAAGGAAATAACAACCATAATTTTACAAGATAAAGACTTTTGGCCTCGATGTGAACATATAGTCAAAGCTAGTGAGCCTTTAGTGTGAGTTCTTCGGTTAGCAGATAGTTAAGAAAAACCAGCAATGGGTTATTTATATGAGGCAATGGATGAAGCAAAAGAAGCCATCAAGACAAGGTTGCAAAATAGAGTTTCTCAATATGGACCATATATTCGGGTAATTGATGCTAGATGGGATAAGCAACTTCATAGTCCATTACATGCAGCAGGTTGATTTCTTAATCCTGGAATCTATTTTAGGCCTTCTTTTTCAAAACAAAAGGAGGTTACTCGAGGTTTGCTTAGCACAATTACTAGATCGGTCCCTGATTGTGACACTCAAGATGTAATTAGTGGCCAACTTGAGGAGTATAAGAAAGCAACTGGTGATTTTGGCATGCTCCTAGCTATTCGTCAAAGAGAAAAGTTAAATCCAGGTAATAACATTATGTTTTTAAAAATATAATATTGTTTTGTATTTATAATATCTAATTTATTAAACTTTTGTCTTATCTAGTTGCATGGTGGGAGCAATTTGGCAATGATACTCAAGAACTTCAAAAGTTTGCAATTCGAATTCTTAGTCAATGTTGCGGTGCAACTGGGTGTGAAAGAAATTGGAGTATATTTGAATTCATTCATTCTAAAAGGCGCAATAGGCTAGAGCACAAAAGATTGAGTGATTTAGTACTTGTTAATTATAATTTGAGGATTCAACAAAGGTAAAATATTGATATTATCATATTAATAATAATATTGAAAATGATTATTACTATTTTTATTAATAATGATATTAATTTTTTAAAATTAAATTTATCACTAATATATATGTGGTTTATATTTATGTTGTTTTTTGTAGGAATTTGAGCAAAACAAGGGATGCTTTAGATCCCATTAGCCTCGATAACATTGACCTATTGAATGAATGGATTTGTGAAGAACCTAGCCTTCTTGATGGAGATGATATAAGTTGGGAGACTATAGAAGCACCTTGGACTACTTTGACTTTAGAGGATGAAGAGACATGTTTTGATGAAGAGAATATTGAGCTTGGTGGAAATGATCAACTATTGGAATGTCTAGCTGATGACTTTTCCTATATACCACCACAAGATCAAGATCCTTATTTTTATGTTAATGATGGAGATGATGTTTGATTTATGTTTATTTTGTGTTAAAACATTTTACTTTCATAATATTTTGGTATTTTGTTTAAGTTGAATTACTTTAAAACTTTAAATTAAAGTTATATTTAATCTTGACTATTTAGGAATATTTTAAATTTTAAAATTATGTTGCTTGACATTGTGTTTATACTTTGTAATGCATAATTTATCTTGAATTTGAATTATATTTATTGAATATATATATGAATAGTACAACCCTGAAACGGCATATCGAAATGCTCCGAAACTGAAACATTTCGTTTCAATTGAAAAAACGAAACATCTGCTGAAACGGAATTGACAACCTTGGTTGTAGTAGTACTACTACTAATAATAATAATAGAAAAAAAAAAAGAAAAATAAGAAAAAGTTGATGAAAACTTTGAGATGGAAGAACAATATGAGAATTAAAAAATGAGAATAATAAATATCAAGGTTATAGGATCCACTAATGATATTTCAAACAAGTATAGTATAAATTCTTATTATTCAAATGGAATCCACACATAATGAAGGTTCAAATCAGATTATAAATTGTTAACATTATTACATTAGTTATCTTATTCAAATTATGTTAATACTTGTAAATGTTGTCAGGTATCATACCATACAGTATGTGCTATGAAACTGCCAAGCATTTGTTGTACCAAATGTTATACAACATAAATGTAGATTAGTCATTTAACAAGCAAGGTATTAAAAAGTGAACAAGATAACAAATGCAAAACATGTTAGTATCAAACATTAAAGTCCATGTTAAGTTTACACTATACTTATTCTTACACCATTAGTGTAACCTTTTCACCTTGACATAATAAAATTAGTTAAACGTAATGAAAGATAGAAACATAAATAAACAACATAAGAACATAAATAAGATAAAAGTTAACTAAGAACGGAAAGGAATTGAAAGGTATAAACAAAATATTTATGAAAACAAAACTTAAGCATTACAAAAATACAAAGAGAGAAAGCAATCTTGATCTGGAAACTAAGATGCTTAAATGTATGGCATATGCTTTCTTTTATAGGCCAAAATTGGAAACTATTGATTTAATGACTTATTGATAAGTGGTTGACCAACTCTTGATTTGGTGACAATCCTTATTTTCTCTTGTCTAAATAAAATATCGTTGATAACATCAGAATTTGAATAAGGCCTCCACATGAAATTGTAGGAAATTATCTTAACTTTCTAGAAGAAAACAATTGAGGTTATTTGGACTTCTTGAACTCAAGATATGGGTTGAACACTGAACAGTGTCTGGGCTGCAGGACAGATTCAGATTTCTTTGTTGTTGCTACAATTTGGACTCGAAAACAGCCTTATTAAAACAAGTTATAGGTTTATGTCTTACCTTTCCAACCATATAAAGTAGACCTAAATCCGAGATCTACAACTCCAGATATGATCCAACTTTGGCCATCTCTTTCTCCTTTTAATTTTATTATTTAAACTCATCAATCAATCCTTTCATTTATGTGATAAGCTTGCATTTAAGATCAATATTTACCATAAAATAAAGGTATCTTATATTATAAGATATGTTATTATAAAATATGTTTTAGTTAGGGAGTTATTGGTACGTCAAGGGCAAAATGATGATACAAAACGTCGATAAAAAACACTTTTAAGTACTGATCAGAACCCCCACCCAACAAAAACTAATTAGCTAGGCTAGAAGTATTAGAAAGATGCCATAAGGTCATGTATACCTTGATAAGTCAAAATTTGTTCTTTATCCTAGCAAAGAAAACAAGTCAGAGTATACCTTGATAAGTCAAAATTTTTTCTTTATCCTAGCAAAGAAAACAAGTCACATTGGGGAGGACTACTTAATGCTTTTTCAAACTTAAGAAGGAAAGTAATTAAATCAGCAACAAAAGAGGAAATTATTCCACTAGTTAGCTCTAACATTGAACAACACAATGAAGTTAAGTCTAAACATGTATTAAGATTAGAGCTACAAGATATGTTGCTCCATGATCCCCATGCAATATCATTACCCTTTTATTTGGACATTCTGAAGCAATGTGCCCATGTCCTAAGCACTTGAAGCACTTGATGTCTCGTGACCTCCTTGGATGTGGAGGTTCTGTCACCTTCTCCTTTCCCTTTAAAGAATCAGAACTGGTATTCCCCTTGCTGACCTCCACCTTCTCATCTCGTTTAGGTGTGCTCCATGTTCGAGTAGGCGTAGATCTGTCCCTTGTCGTACTTAACGTAGTGACACTAGTTCGGACACCTCCTCGTTTCTGCTGCCTCTCTACACGACTTGCAAGCTTTATAACATCCTCAAGGAAGATGTACGGTTGCAATTGAACCACATTAGCTATATCCTTCCTCAACCCTCCAAGAAATCTAGCTATTGTTTGTTCTTGGGGTTTCATCAATTCACATCGAATTTGTAGCAACTCAAACTCTTTCACATACTCTTCCATGCTTAAAGATCCTTGTCGCAAAGTCTGAAGTCTGATGTATAGCTCTTGTTTATAATAATCAGGAACAAATCTCTTCTTCATCACTCTTTTCATAGTTGCCTACGTTCGAATCTCCTCTTCTCCATCCCTTTTCCTCTGAATCTTTAAGTTTTCCCACCATAAAAGAGCATAATCTGTAAACTCAAGTGCTGCCACCTTGCACTTCCTTTCTTCAGAATATTCATACCATTCGAACACCTTTTCAACCTTCTGAATCCATTCCAAGTATTCCTCAGGTGAACTACTTCCTCGAAACGGTGGAATCTTAAGTTTGAGACCACTAGGAGCATTATTATTCTGTCTTCTTGGTCTACCCCTGTCGTCGGCCTCATCATCCCCATTTAGATCTCCATCAGCTTCTACAAAATCATTTCGTGGCACCCTAAGTGCTTGCCTCTGCTGGGGTTGCAAATTATTTCTTTGCATCATTTGCATAAGGGTATGCAACTGTTCACGAATTCCAGTCATTTCATCCCGAATCTCAGCATGAGATCGTTGTAAGCCCATAACCTGTGCCTGTTCTAAACTTAACCCTCTTGGCAAATCTTCTTTATCTCCAGCCATAACTAAGTTTATCAATTGCAATTCCAGCAAGCCTTTCTTCTGTTTCTAGCTCTTGCCTTAGATCGCAACTGATGCTCTGATACCAGATGTTGTGCCGTGAATGATTCAAAAATCGGCAACAATGAATCTGACGAAAATGGATGAAGGATGGGTCTGGTTGTATTGTCTTTCTTCTGGTGTTTAGGCTAGATTATAGTATTTTTAAGGTAAATAAAAATGGAGGATAAACTAGAGTGATACTTTGATAAGTCGATCTGGACGCCACAAAGATCAATCTAGGATTTTGACGCCACACTCTTTGTGATTGAAGAGTGATAAGTCAGGTAGGGTTCTTCACAAATCAATTTGGAAGAATAACTCTTAATTCTCGGAATTAAGTTCAAATATTGGCCAAAAGTTGTTTATTACATATTCTGATGCCATATTTATAATGGAACATCCCTCCACACTTAGGAAAATTCAACATGACAGAAATCAAGCCCAAAACTTGGACTTTGACCAAGTAATCAGACAAATTAAACTAGCACACATTTTCTGACTTTAATTGAAACATAAACAGACCGAATTTAAAATGGCTATAACTTCTTGCACAAAAGTCCAATGCAATCATAGTTGGACAATCTGGAAAGATCACGTTCTGAACTTGAAATCCACCTAGATTAGTCTTGTTTTCACATGCAATGGATGACTGCAAATTTGGGTTCAAATTTATCTACTGTTCTGACGTAAACAGCATCAATTCCTTAACTTATTTGCATTATCAACCCAAATTCAAGTAGCCCAGCATCAGAAGAACCATTAAGGGCTCTTCCCATCTTTAAGCTCCAATTGTAGGCAAATAAGCACCCTTGAACCAATTTGAAACTGATTGCTAATTTTTAACTCCGACGCAACTTCAATCATTCTAATTTGACTCGTCAAGGTCCTTTGTAGTTGTTTCGCTCTCGCTCTTGTCATTGGACCATCTGAATCCTCTTGCATATTCAATTTACCTTTACAAGATGGATTATCATTTCCATGATGCACATCAATGAGCACCTACCCTTTTTTGGCCCTCCTTTTCTTTTTCTTATTGTTTTTTGTATTTTAAATAATTTTTTTAAATAATTTTTCAAAATCATTCAATGATATTTGTTTTTAAAAATAAAACTCAAATTTTTATGGTTATATTTTTAATTGTTTAATATTATATATGAAACAAATATGAACAATATTTTTTAAAAAAAATTTATGAGTATTTAATGAAAATAAAAAATATCTTTTTATTATTTCTATATATGTTATCTCGAATTAATTACTCTTTTATTAAGATATAGGTTTTTGTGTTTCTTAAAATTTTGTTAATAGATCATGATAACATTTTACATAAAAAGCTTTGTTTTTATTTAAAAAATATTTCTTTATCAAAATAAAAAATAAATGAATAATGAATAGAAAGTTTTGGCTAAAGAATATGTTTTTTCTTTTAAATTTAAATCATTTAAATTCTTTTGAGTTTTTATTTTAACTATTTTAGATTTAAAAAAAAAGATGAGATGATGTTATTGATAAAAAAAATATGAATTTATCAAATAAAAAATATATAAATAAAAAAGAGAATTTTGACTAAAAAAATAGTTTTACTTCACAATTTAATTCATCGAAACTCTTTCAAATATTTATTAAATTAAATAAAATTTTATTTTGAAAGTGGTTAGCGGGGAAATAAAAACTAGTAAATACTATAAAGGCCAGAAAAATAACAAAGGTAGTCAACACTCTTATAATTTTCAGGTAATGGTTACTATCTCACTTGTTCTTTTTTTAATATGTTTCATTTCATTATTTTAATTCTCATCTTTCCTCTCTCTCTCTGTTTTTTTTTTTGTTTCGAAATTTGGTAGCAGAGGAAAATCTTTTGAGGAGGGTTCCTAATTATAGTTTACTTTTTTATCATTAATTATACATATGTTCTCTGTAAGAAAACGAAGATCGATTCTTATCGTTTACATATCAGTGGCTAATATTTAAAGAAAAGAAAAGGCCGAGGAGTAGCGAATCAAAGCCTGAAAAACGCGAAACCCGCGAAGAAACACAAGTGGTGGTCAGACTGAGACACTGATGTCTGAAAAATCAATCCCACATGCTTTATTTTATTTTATTTATTGATACAGAGATATAAAGAAGCTAGCCTTTGTACGTATAACCCTATCCATGGTCATGGTTAGTCTTAGCCATCTCCTTAACAGGTTCTCATTGCTTCTAGCACTACCCCTTTTCGACCCCATTTGCCCCCAGTTGTCTTTTCTTCTGCAACAGAAGAAATAGCGTACATAGCGATAGGGGTGTGTGTGTGTGTGTCTATATATATATATATATATTAGACACAACAAAAGAAAAAGAAAGATGATATTAACAAGCTTATACACACACGCACACCAAACTTCTTTGTTTGTTCAAGTGGTGTTTATTTAATTTAAGTGAAGGAGATGGTATTAATTGGTTTCCAGAGTCTGGAAATTGGTCAAAGATATTAGCCCAGCTGCTTTTAAGATCTTTTAGAGAGAGAAAGAAAGACAATGATATAGCTTGGTTTATTTGATTAAAAAGTAAGAGGCAAAAGGGGTGGGTGTATAGAGCCAGAACTCGATGACGGTTTGATTCTCTCTTTCTTTTCTTTTGTTGGTGTATAGAGAAAATTCTGGGGTTTTGTTGTTTAGATTGCAAAATATTACGAATTTGATGGGTAAGAATAAGAGGCCTCAGAAAACGAAGGAGCTTTCAGTGGCAATAGCAGAAGCTTCAGCTATAGAAGATGAGACCCGGCAAGAGCCTCAAACTCCTAGAAAGAGAGGTAGACCACGCAAGATTATTGAAAAGATTGAAAGTGAAGTGAAAAAAGAGGAATCAAGAGTAGAAGGAACACAGGCTACCGAACAAGTTATTGGGAGTCAATCAGAGAAAGTTAAAACCAGCCCACAGGAAGAAGAACAAAAGGTAGAAATAGAAGAATCATGGCGTTCTAGTTCTACGAGAGGAAAAACGAAAGAAGAGGAAAAATCTGAAATGAGGGAACCTCCAGGGAGAAGCCGAAGGAGGAAAGGCAAACCAAGAAAGAGCAGCTAAACAGGTAGCTAGCAATGATATATTTGAAATAGCCCTTTATTTATTTCATCCTCTGATTAAAATCAAAAAGAGGAAGGAAGAGGAATGAACTTTAGTTTATAGGAATTAAGCTTCTTGATTGTCTCGATTTGTTTGCTCTCTCTTCTTATGGGACGCAAAGTAGAAAGGGCTTTAGCTTGTTATTAATTGCTTTGATTGTTCTTATCATCCATTGATCATCTTCTATCTCCACAAATCAAATTTCGTTCAAAGAAAGAATATTGCAAACTTTCTAGTGATGAGATGATTGATTGTTAATGACTTTTAGTAATTATTCACGTGCTGTTTATTTTTCATTTTCCACTGTCCTTCCAAATTTCCATTATACATGTGAATATTATTTAGTACTACCTCATGTCATTGGTAAAAGCAGTTATAGGTTTTCTCTATAGCTAGGTGGTGTCGGAACATATGTTTTTTCTTCTAGCTCTCTTACTCAATATATCTTTGAGGGTAAAGTTTAGCTAAAATGCTTACGTTTTTAGCACAAAAATGGTAGCAAATGGAATGGTTTTGATTGCTAAGGCGATGCTAAAATACCCAAAATATGAGACAGAAATCGGAAGTGGGAAAAGGAAAGAAGATCGAAACGGACGAAGTTCGTATTTTTTTTTAATTAATTATGAGAATATTTTGAAATTAATTTATGATAATTTCTTTATATATATATATATATATATAAGAGAGAGAGTTAGAGAGAGAAAATAGACAAATTTCATTACATAATAATTTCAATATTTAAAATTAGAAAAATAAGAAAACTTACTACACCTTGGTGGGTAAAAACATTTTATACAATGGTGTTTACACTATTGTTCTTAAACATATAGAACAGTTCTGAACATTACTTTCTAGTATCTTTTACTTAGTAATATATTTAAATAATATTTTTTATTTTTAAAATTTTATTTTTAATATTAATATATTAAAATAATTAATTTTAAAAAAATTAATTTTTTTTAAGACACGAAAACAAGGATCTGTTGTTGCCAGCTGTGTTATTACGGAGAGACGCCGAAACCTGACGATATATAATTACCTGGGTGCCAACTCATTTGTGGCAGCACGTGATGTCACGCTCCCTGCAATTATCAAGACGAAAAATCCATGGCCCAGCCGCCTCAGCAAACCAATCACTGACATTGATAGTTGGGCCTTTATTGCTATGAAAGAGAAGTGCGTGGTGGGTACTTGCTTTTGGTGCGCGGTGGGGGAGTAGAGAAATAGAGCGAGTAATAATAGTTGTTAGTAAGAACGAAGTCGAAAACAAAATGAAGAAGAAGAAGTAAGCGCAGAAGTGATGGCTCCAAATTTAGGGTGAAAGGAGAGGACAACGAGAAAGACGTGTCTCTGATTTACAAACGACCAATGGAGTCCATTTTCAATAGAACCAGTTAACTTAATCAAAAGATTTAGCTTACCACGGTGTGATGCCATGAGTTGTAATCACGTGATCATATAATTTATAAGTTAAGTAAATTAGATTTCATAAAAATGTGATATAAAAATAACTTGTATTTAAATACTAGTATTATTAATAATAGAGATCTTTACTCGATGAATATTGATTCACGAACAAGAAATATAAGGATGGTACCATGAAAATAATTGTTTTTCGAGAAGTTATTTTTCTATTTTTTAGAGAACCATGGAAGAAAGATTATCTCACTGACACAAATACAAAATTGAGAAGTCATTTTTCTATTTTTTAGAGAACCATGAAAGGAAGATTATCTCACTGACACAAATACAAAAAGTGCGGTAAATAAGAAATTTTATTAATCTAAATTGTCTAACCTTATATATTTGGTTTTGTCTCTATTTATATTGACTTTAGATTTAAAAAAGCCCTAATGAACCCCCCTTCAGTGGACTTATATGAAACTCACTAATAATTAACCCAAATAAATAATAATAACTCAAATACTAAGAAAAAAATAATATAAATATGAAAATTACCATCTTTAATATGCTATAATCAAATTTGTCAAAATTAAGAAATCCCAAATAGACTAGGAAATCTAATCTGAAGTTAGAATTTATTATGAAGTCTTCTTTCCCTTTGTAACTAGGATGCATAAGGAATCCTTGTAAGAAAATGATTATGAAATAATAATGAATCCTTGCTACACTTGAAAATTATGTTGCAGCCCATTAAAAATCTTTGTAGAATTAGTATATTTTCAAAATAAGTTGTCGTGTCCTTTTAGAAAAAGAATCCTAACCAAATAGAAAGTCCACAACTTAAAAGGAAGTAAATAACAAAATTCATACAGCCTTTGTTGACCTGTATTAAGATATCTTTCCAAACTTCGATTGACCTGAAATTTTAATACAAGGTAGGAAAACATGTCAAGAGACTCCATGTAAAATTTTAACTCGATCTAATGGTTGGATTGAGAATTAAGACTATTGCTGTAAAACTGAATAGTTGCACATTTTACGTCAAAATCCGCATTTAACATTACTTGGATCGTATCATTCCCTCTCTCTTCAAGATGATTCATCCTCGAATCACCAACAAGTGGAATGGACAATTCCTTAGCTTGATGCAAACCTCGTGATCACGTGGTCATGTAACCCACAATCAAGATTAAAATCTGATCCCGGAAAGCCGAAATAGGTCTGATAGAAGTGTGACTCAATGGAAACTTGTCCCAAGACACCAACATTATTGGATGAGTAAAATGATACCACGAAACTAATTAATTTTCGATAAGTTAGATTCAGTTTGTTCAAGAACTGAAGAATGTTGATTGTCAAATAATAGCTTTTTCCTCGAGTATCAACAGTAATATGGAGAGAGAGAGTTTAGAGATCAAATTGTCGGAGCTAGATCTACTCCGTCCACCGTTGGATCGTCCTCATTTCTGACTATGTTGTTCATTTCAACCTTCTCGAAACATTGACCGAATGGATCTTTGTTTCAATCAACGAGGTTGGAGATATTGATCTCGTAATATTTCTACTGTTTTGCATTTTTAATTGCAGCAGAGTGAATTAGGTTTCCTTCTTGGGTCTCCAATGACTATTATGAAAATGAATGTTTCAAATTAGTATTTTGAATTTAGATTTGAAAGGCCCTTGCCACACTTGAAGATTACATTATAGCTCATTTGGAAGTTTAGTTCCTTACTGGTTACAGAGTGGTGTTGTTAAAGCTTGATCTCTTTTGTTCATTGTTGGATTGTCACCATTTTTTAGTATATTGTTCATCAAAACATGCTCTACAGCTTGACCAAACAGATCATCATTCCAATCAATGAGCTGAAAGATACTAGCCTTGTAATTCTATAATTCTCTTCTTCTTTCATGAACAAATCTGAATCTTTTCGTTTCTAAGATTTGGTTGCTATTGCTTTTGAGCTTAGGTTACTTCTTAGACTCAGTTTCTTTTCTTAGAATTTTGTTCTCTCTAGTATTTGTATGCTGCCATAATGTCCTTATGGAAACTGTTCCATTAGTTAGCTCTAACATTGAACAACACAATGAAGTCAAGTCTGGACATATATTAAGATTAGAGCTACAAGACATGTTGAATAGCTATGGGATGAGGATTTCTCAGTTTAGTAGTGTTAATCAAGCTTATTCTGAAGCTAGCATAGAGAAACACTCTAATTTCCAATCTGCTAATGTTGTTTCAGAAATGAATCATGTGTTGGGTTCTAAAGTTGATGAGTTAAAGGTAGGGTCTCAGTAATAAGACCAGCTAAACCTTAGCCCCAAATTGAATTTTTTAAATGCTTTGAAGGGTTTTGATGTTGATAACAATGAGGGTAGCAAAACCCTTGGTATTTCTCCAATCCGTAATCTGCATTTTGCTCTCCCCGCTATGACTGACGGTCATGTGACATTAGCTTCTCCACTTGATATGTTTGAGGATGGCTGCGAACTTTGGAAATCCACCCTAGTTGGTCATTTTGTGGGTCAGAAATTACCATATCCCGTTGTTAATTCTATTGCCAAAAGAATCTGGGGCTCCTACGGTCTATCAGAAGTTTTATCTTCGGATAATGGTTTCTTCCTATTCACTTTTGATTCTGTTGATCATGCCACTAATGTGCTGGAAAGAGCCCCATGGCACATGGCAAGCAGACCTTTGGTGCTTAAACGTTGGCAACCGAACATGCAATTTTTGAAAGGTGATTTGGTCAAAGTTCCGGTATGGGTTAGGCTGTATAATGTTCCTCTTGAGTATTGGACTATTAAGGGGTTGAGTTGTGTAGCGAGTGCTATTGGGGTTCCTCTTCATGCTGATCAGACTACATTGTTGCGTCAAAGGCTTAGCTACACAAGAGTTTGTGTTGAGATAGATGCTACGAAGACGCTGGTTAAGGAATACGACCTTCGTTGTCCAAATGGGTTATTCATAATAATTTTAGCTGATTATGAATTGATACCGTCGAAGTGCAATAACTGCAATGTCTTTGGACACACCACAACGATATGTGCTACTAATAACGGTGATAATCTTACAGTGGTGGTAGAGGGTAAGAGGAAAGTAGGAGCTGTGAACTTTAAATCTACGGATAATAAGCAGAATCAATTTCAATGGCAGGTAGTTATTAAAGGAAATAAGGGTTCAGTGAGTGGTGAGAATGGTCCTTTGGCATTTAAAGTGCGTAACTGTAATGAGAATGGTTGTTCGACATCTGGTATACATATGTCTGATTATAATATGAATGAGAAGGTTGTATTAGATGTGCACAATGTTGATTGTTATGAAGATGAAAATCCTACCTCTCCTCTTATTTTGAAGAGTTCATGAGGAGACATGATTTAGATCAAAGTTTAGTCATCCCTAATACATCTGATTGTGCGACCGTGAACCAGGTTCTTTTCGTTAATAGTCATGAGCTGAATGTAGATATTGACTCAATAGTAGGTGATATAGATGAGGAACGAAGCGATAAGAAGTTGACGTCACCAATCCTGA